CAGTTGACTGCAATTCATGTTCTGCACATCATCATCGTTATCCATATACTAGATTTCAGAATTCAGGTGAAAAAATAGTGGAATAGCTACCAAGGTAAAGAATAATACCAGTCAAAAAACCAGAGTCCGAAACGGACAAAAAAGTAGTCATGCTGGACTATGCACCCCACTTTGAGCGCAGTCGCGGGTGGAAGAAAAAGGGAACAGTCTCTCTCGGTGGCTTCTCCCTCTAGAGCTATTGCCGTCAATGTGGTAAATGTCATTATTAGGTCATGAGGATAAAGGCACTAAGAAAGTGAAGCTTCATAGGAAATTTGGCTTTCTATAGAGGAATTTTGAGCATCACTTGTCTCAAAAGGCTCATTTCCGTGCAGAATGGATAAATTCAATATGTTTCTAGTTGAAATTCCGGTGAGACAGAATGACAAACAGGTTTTCTTTTGCTTGTTCAGAATGTCAGCTCATCTGTGTTATTAAAAACCTCCACAAAAGCGATAAATCTCTCTTATAGGAACTACTTGTCTTCAAGTGGTCGTTGAACATCCTCCGACCAAAAATTTATCAGAATCACTTATTCACCTCGAGAATGAAACTATCAAAACCAGTGGTCTTAAAATTTTCGGACCTAATTTTCTATAGAAGCTCCTTTTTCTTACTATTTTCTATAGAAGCTCCTTTCTCTTACTATAATTATTTTCATCAGTTGGTGAGCTTTAATCTGGTCATAATGACTTCGAAGTCTAGCCAAGTAGGGCCATGTCTACCATCATGGAACTTGAATAGAGACCCATATGATTCGATAGAGTTCTAAATGCTGTTCACGAATATGGAAAGTAAAGCTGCAAAACCTTCAAAAAAGTTACGTGGCTCCGATTTTGTGTGAGGGTACTGTCAATTGGAATGTTCAAAATCGACTCCTGCAACTTCATTGCTCATGCACTGTTGACTAACTGCAATAACGATGATTAGAGTAGTTCGAGTACGAAAAGTTATGGAGTTCAGATGAGGCATTTTCAAACCACATCCTCTTCGACGTGGATACGGTTGCAATGTAATGTTTGCATATTAAGATTTGTATTTGAGTAACCGCACTTGCCCAGCCTCAAACTTACATCTCATTCCTACAGCGTTTTCTACCTATATCGTCTAAAACTTCCTTACGTTATATATTTTNTTTTCTTTTCGAAAAAGCTGTTGCGCAATCCTCGATTTTGCTTGCAGTTCTGTTGGCCAGAGTTCTGATTGCCTGTGATACTTTTTCTCGGGCACCCTATTCTTCCAGCAGCTCTTTGGCTTTGACAGTAGGACCGCTTGTAGTGGCAGGCTCAAGTAATCTGTCTGGGTGACGGCGCCGGTAGTCACCAATCCGTAACGAACACTGTATGCAAGAACCAATCATGGTGATTTCCTTACTGGACGACTCGAAATGGGCGAGGCGACCGGAGGATAAGGCTACATTGCGAGAGCTAGCCTGATTTTAAAAGATTACTAGGGGCCCAATCTCATCAGATCTTACTGTTTCATGCTGGTCTTGCGTACACGGGGAACAGAGCGGCTTAGGGTGTGGTCCAGTATTATCGAAATTGCTGCGTCGCGGCGAGAGAGACGCAGCGCGAGGGGAACATGCAGAATGCAGCAGCATTTTAGAAACAAAGAAACAAAAGAACTAACAGAATCGTGCCAAAAGTAACAATCGCATAGCGATTGAGCTGTATGAAGAAGGTTAGAACTGTTAAAAAGAGGCAACTGGTCCGCGACAGCCACATGCGGCGGATCGATTGCACAACACCGTTCCTACTGCCCGTCTCCCCGCAGCCGATCGTTTCTCCGTGCTTCGCAAGACCTCGCTACCTTGATTGAGTGGGATGAAATCTCGGGACCGAAGCGTGCTCGAAAACTATAACCTCTATCTTCGCACGAGGTTCAATTGCGCGATATTCAAATTTCGTAATAGTGCTAGTTGCTCCCAAAGGCCGCTTTCAGACCTCGACGTCCGTCCGCCCGTCCGACGCGTGCGTGCTGCAACGGCGGCGCCTGACCTTTATTGACAACAATAGATTACGTGACAGCGCTGTCAACACTACTCTAGCGATCGGACGGTCGTCGAGGTCTGAAAGCAGCCAAACGATTTCTCAAAAGATACGGATCTGTTCCGTCAGGATGTCCCATCCTTGTGATCCCTTCGCCTCTTTCTCTCGACCTTTTCCTTCCCTCTGACGAGCAAGCTGATCGATCTTATTTGCATTTGCAGACAGAATCATTGCTCATTCGGTCTTCTAGCCTCGAAAATCGACTTCGTACAACTTCTTTGTCGACGACTGGGGCGAGTCTCTCGCAAATACCTCTTTTCCTCTCTATTACCTTTCTTCATGCATTTTATTTCTTGTTCTATGTTTCCTGTAACACGTATCCGCAATCCCATCATATCCATCATCACTCACCGAAGTGATAAGGATGCGCTGTTGGCGGGTAGTGCTTAACCGACTCCTTGGCTCTTGTTTAATACATATGGCCACCTATTGTCACTTAGGCCCTCTCAGTTGCTAACAATCCCTGTAATAATTATCTACGAATTGTGTACATCCCACAACGGTAGCCAAAGTGCCCACATTCCACTGTTAACACGAATAGGTGACGGATTCTGTGACCCTTGCTTCCTAAGGCTATCAAGTATCAATCGTTAACACTCCCCATCATCCACCGTCAATGTTCCTATCCTTTCCCCTAAATCCCAGATTTCAAATTTGACTCTAGGTGGAGGCGTGTGAATTCCCGGTAAACGTCCCCCTTTCCCCTACCATTCTCACACACACTTACCGCATTATGTATAGTCTTAAAGTCTTCTGGCTTTAACTCATCCCATCCAAAGGATGCGCGCCGCATTGACTTCCATTCAGGACCGTAGTGGCGTAGTGAATGGTGCGGCTTACACAACGACGACATGATCTGCCCTGTAGAGGCCATTTATGCAAGTAGCCCCGTAGCTCGTATTTTTTTATCAGCATTTATTCTAGCTTGGAGCGGTTGGTGGTCCTTTACAGGTATATCTTGACGGGTATTTTGTTTTACAATTTCTATCCCCATTATTGTAATTTAAATTTACCCATTGAACTTCCTCTGAAGGTTGAAATAGCCCTAAAGCGAATAGTTTCCTAATACTACTGTAGTCTTTACAGGCTACGATGAGGGCGAAGTTTTCGTAGTCCTGTTGCTACAGCACACACACATACAGACATTTAGCTGAGCAACCTCTACATCTTTGCTGCCTCTAGTCCGTCACACCATTCGTGTTGATCGTGGAATCTGAGCACTTTGGCTAATGTTGTAGGGTATAAGGAAATCGTAGATGGTTGTAACTCAAATGAGTGGATTCACTTCGTACAGCCACTGATGAGATGTCCCTACAATCTGGTTCGTTTGTGTAAATTGGGTAACTACCACACCTTTAAAGGCACATTTCACGATAAAAATGGTTACTGAGTTCTTCCCTCAGGAGTACTCAGTGGCCCCCATGGATGGTAGAAGGGTCCCCCTCGCTCTCAAAATCTCGACGGTCAGGGCATAGTGGAAGCCCTGTTGCTGTCTTGATTCGCTTTTCCGCCCCTCGATCGATGTTATAGCTCGTTCAAACGCCCCACTTTTCTTCATTTTTATGGTCTCATTCTCGTCCAGCCCCCTTTTAACGGTTTTTCGAAGCCTTTTTCCACTTTTAAAACACCGATTTACGCAGTTTCTTCACCTTCCTCGCACTATTTTCGGTCTTGTCTTCCATTTTTCATCACAATCTGGATTACCCGAAATTATCGTGAACTGTGCCCATAAATTCGGGACCAGTAGTTAAGGAATCATAGCTAGAGATTTATACTCATGAAGAGAATAAGAAGGCGAATAGCGACTCATCGTAGTAGTATTGTAAACTACGCTAAAAAGTGCACTTCAGGCTTATGTGAACGGCTTGTGTTCGAAAGCCAGGAGACATAGTGAAGAGGAGAATCAAGTCATTAGGGACCGATTTTCGAATGATGAAGAGCAGGAGCAACAGGATGAAACTTAGTTGAAATGACTCATTACTTGCGAGTCTTCCGTGTTGCTCTAGTTTTAGTTGGGCAAATCATCGCAAACAGAATCGGAGCTCTTTATCTATCCGTGATGATCCATGATCCATGATGATTCATCTCTAAAGCAGGAATCTAGGTCCAAAATTATTTTTCTGTTGCCAACGTTGTAACAGTTGGAATGCATCTGACTACTGAAGTGATCATACTATTTGTACGAGTTTCTTTTCTACTAGTAAGCCACTGCTTGGTTTGGTGAGCGCCAGTCAATTTCAATAGCATATCCAGCTCCATGATATGGAACCTGCTTCAAAGAAAATGAGTTCATACAGCAAATGAACCATCCTTACTACATATAAAGCGCTCCCGTCTGTCTGTCTATTTGCACGCAAATTCGATACCACCCGATGAAGTACCTGCAGAAGTTTCAAGCCTAGGGATTAGCGGTCGTGGACATATATGCATCACATTTAAGGGATGCGCCCACGCATTCGACTTCCATTCGGAATTGTAGTGGCGTATTGAATGCGTATGTGGCCCATACAATGAGTTACGCTGGCCAGCCGATGAGCAAGTCAGTCCCCATTTATCCCCCCAGACCAGTCTGATACTAATGCACCGACCCACCAGGGATGGAAGGTTGGCCTAGCCGGTGTCGATTCGTGATTTGAACCCGTGATCATGCGTGTGTAAAGTGCACCACTTGCCACTACACCACTTTCACCCTCAAATGAACTGTATGGTCACTATATGTTAAACCTGCAAATTCAAGTAATATTAGCGTTAAGCCCGTTGTGAGCTTGGCACGGAGACCAAGGACAAATGGTTGAGTTCGATAAGCAAGTGCCCTGCGTAAATCCAATTTGTAGTGATATTTTTATTAACACCCTTTTGTTAAACACATTGCTATCTTATTCAACTCTTCTAGATACATTTTTTTGTTCTCTAGTAGTAACGGTAAATCATTTCGACGTTCCATGCGCTGGCTGCGATCGCCCAAGCGGGATCATCCTGTCGCCTTTTGGTTATCTCAGCAAGGAGCCGTCTGATTGTATGCGACTGCATATACTTTCCGTACAGGTAGTGACTGGCGACACCAAGCAGCAACTGGCTATCTTCATCACTTGTTGGCTCACCAGGCTGCTGTAAAAGCATAAATTCATCTGGTGGTTGAGTGATTACATTTTGAACGAAGCCTACTCACCACTAATGTTATCTGGAACCAGAATTCACCACATTTATCTCCACTGCAAGTGAAAAACAGGAATAATGGACGCTCATCCAACTCTTTTCGAGGAGCAGACAATGTACAATTTGCAATGCGCCAACCTTTTTGCGGTACTACGTACACCGAAACTTGATTACTACCTGTAAAAATAGCTTATTGTTACAATGTGTACTAAACACTAACTTCTTCATATGAAAATTCTATGTAGAGAATGAAATAGTACGAAAATTCATCCTAGTTGGCGGACAGGACCTCGTTCATTGCTAACTTACATGAGTTTTTTTAATTGTTATTTCACCGTGTTAATTGACTTTGTTACCTTGTTGTTCACATTATTAGCTGACTGAGTTGATTGTTTGAACCTATGATCCATTTATCGAAAGGTTTCCACGGTATTAGTAGGTATCATGCAAAAATCAAACTTCGTTCCAAATGCAACTACGGAACTACCAGAAGCCACGACAGTAAAACTCAAAATTGCGAGGGGTTTTCGGACGAAAAACTAGCTTGCTCGTCCATCTATAGATTACGTTTCTTACCATTATGGCCATCTTTTTTTTCACGGAAAATGTCACAAAACCACTGTCATTTCCCCTAAGAACTCGGGTATGAAGTCCGTCACGCAACCTTCAGCAACGCTCTCAAGCTGGAATCTGCCAGAATATTCATTCAATCATCAGTTTTATCGTCAGTGGGACTCATAATAGCTTTTATTCTTTTCTTTTATTTTCTATTCTATTCCATTTTCTCTTCTCTCTTCTTTTATTCTATTCTTTTACTTTCTATTCTATTTCTATTTCTATTCTATTTTCTTTATTTCCGCAATTTTTCTGTTCTTATTCTCCCCAATCCTTACTATATATAAATCACAAATGTCCGTTTTTCTGTATGTCTGTATGTTTGTATGTCTGTTTCACTGTAACTATCTTATCACTATCACTGTATCTAGGGCGTCGAAACACGTGGAACAGCTCACACAGGTTGGAACAAGTGGGGACTGAGGATGAACAAGTGGAAAATGAGCCAAATTCCTTGGGTACACGTGATCTAAGCTAGGCTCCGCCCACTAGGGGCGGGGCTTGCAAGAATAGTGTAGTTCGCGGTAAATCTGTAACTCCTTTGCTCCTGAGCGTAGAGTACTCAAATTTGGAAGAGATGTAGGTGGCAAGATGAGAACACTAATGGTAGGTGACAGGTGTGGACTCCTCCCGGTGGGGGCAGGGCTTCCTCAAAAACAGTCGAATTGGGCCTGGGTCGTTCAAATTTGGCAGAGATGTAGATGGCAAGATTGGAAACCAATGGTAGGTTACAGGTGTAGACACCGCTCACTGGGGGCTGGTACAGTAAAGGTTGAGTAATAAGTCCTCGGACAATGTGATATTGATTACTTCTAGAGATCATAACTCGGGAAAGAGGAAACCAAATTGGGCGCGCTAGACATCAGTAGATAGAGTTTGAAAAGCTCTTCCGAAGACTCATTAACAAAGGCACCTAACTATTGGATTTCCTGCAATCATGACCCATGATTTCAAGCCATCGCAACTATACCTCCGCAACACCATCCTCTTTCTTTTTTTATCTGGCCAAGAACCCGCGGAGATCGATAAACGTATGAAGGGAGTTTACAAGGAGAATGCCCTTTCTAGAAGCACAATTTACAAATGGCACTCGAATTTCGCGTCGGGCGATTATTCCATCTAAGATGAAGTAGTACAGGACGCCCGAAGGAGTTGGATTTGGGCCTGCTGCGGAGCCAGGTGGAAGCCGATCCGTACCAAAGTACTCGTGAAGTGGCAGTCTCTCTCAGGGTGAGTCGTTCTTCGTGGAATGAAGTCAATCGGCAAGATGCGAAAGCTCGGCCGATGGGTGCCCCATGCACTGGAGCAGTATGACATGGACCGCCGCGCCGACATGGCACTTTCTCACCTCACGCTCAAGCGCACCTCATGTGACTCGACCACCTAGTTACCGGGGATAAGAAGTGAATTCCATACTCTAACGTCCACCGCGTGCTCAATGGGTTGACAAAGGTGCGGATGCAGAAGACTTCCCCAAACCCTGGTACACGCCAAGAAGGTAATGCTGTACATCAGGTGGAGCGTTCTCGGCGTCGAATACTGGGAGCTGCTAGAGGAAGGATGTACCGTGACCGCAGACATCTACGTTAAGCAACTGAGGAACTTGAAGGCGATGCTCGAAGCTACTCGTCCACAACACCACAAGATTTACTTCCAGCACGATAACGCTCGGCCGCACATTGCAAGAACGACCAAGACTGAACTAATGAATTTCGGCTATACAATTTACCCAACCCACCACATTCCCCAGACTTGGTTCACTCGGATTACCATCTTTTTTCCCATCTCCAACGTCATCAGGATGGTTGAGACTTTCAAACCCGCGACGACATCAAAATGGCACTCGAACAGTTCTTCAAGGACCAGCCCCCAGCATTCTGGAGCAAGGGCATCTACGATCTGCCCAAGCGCTGGCAGAAGACCGTCGATGCCAATGGGGCATATTTTAGATGATTCGCATTTCTCCTTTAAAAATGGTAGGATCAATATTTTTACTGTCAATTTGTCCGATGACTTATGACTCAACCTAATAGTGTTATTTGCAATGACAACTTTGACACAACTTTTGCCAGCTATGAGAACCGCTCATGAACCGTTGCCTTTTTTTTGAACTGAGATTTTGTATTCATATTGGATTTCGGCATTCTGTGCTAAGAAAGTTAAATTCTGTGATCAGTGTTCGTTTGAATACTTATGCTGTTGCAAGTCTAAATTACCATGTAACCCTTTAATCTAAATTCAGCGCAACGGTTCGAGAATAACAGAAAATCCTAAAAAATCGTGGAAAAAGTAGTGAGATATAAAGGACTACAGGTTCTTCCCGATCTTGCAAACTTTTTTTTTACTTCTCATTTATAACTGCCAAATCGAAAGAGGTAGATTTTGAACTGCCAGGCGATGCCGGTCAACTGTGACAAATGAAATAATGCATCTAATAAGCGCATGTCTCCAAGGTGTTAAACACAGAAGCTCTGCGCCTATGGTTTTTCCTTCGATTTTCCATTTAAATTTACGATTTTCCTAGCAATAGTTATCTGAGATAATACAAATCAGGAAACACGCTCTTTTTTCTAAATAAACCAGTCACCTTTGACAACGAAGTCATAAACAATCTTCTTTTCGTCTTCCAGCTTATGTACTAGAGTGACTTTCGTATCTGGGAGAGCCAGAGTTTCGCCCACTGTCTTATAGCGGATGTGCCTAAAAGCCAATTTATAAGTCATATGTTGATCTATTCTTCTGTGTCTTCTTTGTACATAATGAATGGTCCAGGTCGTAGACCAAAGAGTTAACACAAATATTGAAATACCAGTGAAGCGTGACTTCCTCATCATGAGCGAGCCATCTACAGAGCCTTTTATGTTTATTAGGCTAATAGAATATGATTTCCATCTATCTTCCGCAGCTCACTTCCCTTCTTATTTCTACTATGCCATTGCTACTAGTGAACTGTTACGCTTCTTCATTCCTTTCTCTCACACCTTGGTCACTCCTTCGTCTCATGCCATCCCCCTTCTCCTTCCAGCAAATGACGTCAACAGCCCGGGTGTTGACTATTATGAGGGGAGGGTAGGAGTGGAAAGTCGGAACCCATTGACTTTTTTAAGCGGTGAAATTGAGCTCCATCTATAAACAAATTAGTTGTGCAACATGGATCTTTATCAAAGCTCCGCTAGAGCGTGATGGCCCAAAAAGAGTGTAAATGGTAAATAAAGCAGATACAATATTACTGCGCAGTGAACTTGATCATATTTTCACTTAGAGTTCAGTATTTAAAGTATTACTATTTACAGAGCTACGCATCTCTTTCACAAATAAAACTCTTCATCGAAGGATCTCCAAACGGTTAGCGATGAGGCGCCCCAGGTGGCGGAAAGGGGAATAGATCGCAGACCAAAGGTCGCCGGTTTTTGCCTAAAGACCACGTGAATTTAAGCATGGATTTCATCTTTCTGTATGCTGGGTCGACACTTCTGTCGCATATCGCAGTGTATCCACACATACGAGTATGGAGGAACTGCATTTGGTATCCTGCCCACCGACTCAGCCGAAAGCTTACATTTAAGTGACTGGGAGTATCCGAGAGAGGATTTGGGTCTGAAATCCCTGAATCAGGTTTCTCAGTGGAAGAGAGCTGTGAAGTTCAGGAAACGTAGCTCCAAATACCGTAATCAGCTGGGATTACTTCACTTCCCACATGAGTGTCTGGCCTCATTGACAACATCGATGAAGAATGCAACCGGCTCGTAGAACGTCTTCACTTCCGCATGTATCCAGGGGACGTCTTTCTTCGACTACTCTTGAGCTCTTGAGCTAATACCCAGCGTGAATCACGCGAGCTGCAGCCCACCATCAATAAACGGCTTAATGTGCGAAGCTGTGCAGAGAAGCGATAAAGAAAGATCTGTAACAGAGAAGAGCAGCAATTGTGGAGTTTCGTCGCCTGCCATATTAGGCCGTAGATGTATAGTTCTTCCAGTTCTCTCACCGAAAATTCGATATGTCATCACGTCGAAGGAGGATCGTTCAACGCTTGGTCCTCGGAAAAATCGGGACCTTGGAGTATCTGAAGAATCTTCCAATAATTGTTGTTAAAATTCGGACTAGGCCCTCACGTGGTGCCTGTTGGAATGTAAAGTGCCTAGGTCGTGCAAAACGCGACACTGTTAAAGAAGGGAGGTCTCCACGATACTAGCAACTATCCAGCCTGCCTGCTATCTGTAATCTACAATTTACAATTTTTCACACGCGTCATCCCCAATAGGACTGGGAAAACATTAGATGAAGGACAGCCATGTGAAGAGATGAGCTTTCGGAAAGGGTTCTGATCAATCGATCACATCCATGTTGCTACAAGACTCATTGATGTATATGCGAAAATACTGAATGTCTATATGTCTGACGCTCATTGATTTGAAGAGCGCCGTTGATACTGTCTTGACAGAAACTGTATTCAAAGCGTTGTGCAATCAGAGTGTTCCTACACAAAGCATAAGGTTGATTCGTGAATTCTATGACAGCTTCAGGGATTTCGCCATTTTTCGCCATCCTATAAGGAAATTATAGTCAACGTGAGAGGAGGATTGTGACAGGTCGGCCAAACTTTTGGAGTTGGAGAGCTTAGGAGTGAAGGAAGACGACACCTCACCTGACTTCCACTTTGCAGACTATGTCGTACATTTAACGCCGACATCGAACAGGCGGAAAGAATGCTCGCCGAGTTTGACAGCGCGGCGCTTTTGGGAAGAACGACCTGGGACTGAACTTAACGAAGACGATTAGGAACGTTTTAAACCTGATGTCCTCTGCAAGCCAAACAGTACGTATATCTCTGAATGCTCTGGCTTCGTGTGTCCAGGTCGGGAAGTCAACATGATGAACGACCTGGACAGAGCTGAAGAGCAGAAGGAGACGCGCCGCGTGGGAAGCATTTAGAAATATAGAGGGGGTAGTGAAGAAGAAGAACGTTCGGTTTTCCCTTTGCGATACTACTGTCCTTCCTGCGTTGACGTACACCTCGGAGACATGGACATTACGGAACAGGACGAACATGGAGTCACCCTCATTGAACGCGCTCTGGAAAGGACGATGCTTGGAATTTCCTTACTCACGCAAAGGCAGAAGTGAATCCGGACTTACGAGCCCCGTCAAAGAACGGAGATCAGAGATGCCGTTGCTCGCGCCAAGAAATCGAAGATCTAGTAGGACACTTGGGAGGTATCGGGATGACCGTTGGACGAGAACGGTTACAAACTGGATCCCCCGGGATGTCAAAGGATCACCAGAATTGCCGTTAGCACGATGGTCGGAGGCTCTGGATGAAGGCAATGCTGTGCCTCGCGTCCCTCAAGGGAGGACGATCTAATGGTTAACTCTGGCCGCTACAGGGACGAGTGGAGGCATTACTGGCGCTCGCTCGAGAAAATCGATGGCTAACAAGACGATAGATGGTTTACAAAAAAATAGAACAGGCTCAGCTAGAAGCTTATAGCTGTCGGGCGAACACATTAAATACTGAACCATAGCTCGACAAGTTCCTATCTTGCATCAACGTGCGATCTATAATTTGTTCATTTGCCCACGTTACTTTAGTTCTTTAGGTTGGATCAACTGATCTTCATGAAGATGATTTAGCGAATAATAACCAGTCCTTTAGGCACTTTTCTACGTTGCACACCCAGCCTCTCCTTTCTCTGAAATTATTGACCACGTCCTCTCCAAACTGCGAACTTCGAAGCTCTTTGAAAACAATCGCTCAAAACGTTCTAGTAAGCACAAGAATCATAAATTCAAAGGCACAATTTGTAATAAATTTGAAGTGCCCGGTTTCCGGGGTTAATGAATCTGTTCGGCCTTGAATAGTGCGAAGGTAACGAAGAATACGTGGGAAACTGCGTATTTGGAGAGATGCGAGGCATATCAGGCTTCAAAAAGGTACTAATATCAAGGGATGGACGAGGATGTAACCATACAAATTGTATGGAAGGGGTATTTGGTGTCGTTGCGTACCGCTAACTACATTGAGCAGGATATGTTCAAATTTGTTCTCCAACTAGCTGATGAATCTGGCACAGGCAGTTTTATTCTGTGCTACTCTCTTATTTACTGCCATTTTGCCAGAGCAGGTATTCAGATCGATACTATTCGCAAAGAACAGCACTGGAATGAGGGAATATTCTGAAATATATTAGCGCACCAAAGATCAGCTGATTAATTTTTCACCATGCGAAAACTGGTGCCTGTCAACTAGATTTGACAGCCAGCCCAACGATGCTGTGGCATTCAAATGGTACAATCTCCTGCTATTTATTGTGTCCTGTCCAGAGAACGTTTTTGATCTTATAACTGCAGGTATGGGATAAGGAAGGGGCTGGGGGAGAGGTCTAGTCTCTACTGGTTTTATTGATAAGTTGTGGAACATGTTGAAATTTACATCAAAGACTACCTGGAAAGCTTTCTGGAGACAACTGTTCACCAACTACAGACCACCGCCATGCAGAACTTTCATGTTTCAAACGGGTTCAGCACGGGGCTAATTGATTGAAGATGAGGCGACAGAGTGAATGAGCAGTTTACCAAGCTCCTTCATTGCTGAATAATGGGCATGGGTTACGATTTGAGCTCATGTATATTGATCCTACTCGAAAAACGGGGCTGGTTTTAAACAAAACGTTTCCCAAAGTGACTCAAAACGACATACTCAAAGCTTGGAGAGCATTTTTTTTCGGAGAGTTCTCCGCGCAACGGGGAGAAGCTACACTCGCTCTCGAGAAAAAGCAGATCATTTCGAAATGTGAAGCTATTTTTACAGAGGTGTTAGATCGAGCAATTTTTTGAGAAAAAATAGACCTCAATCCATTGTTTTGTTGTTGTCCAAAAATGGCATGGAGGGATCAAGGAATCCAGTGTTTCCTATGATTTGATACCTTTTATACCGATAGAGTTTAATAACCTTACAGATCAGATAATTACAGTGTACTAACTTTCACGTTCGGTCTTCTTGAAACCTGGGCATGTTACATAATATTCTAAACTGCTTTGCTGTACAGGTTCGCTACGGCTCTAACAACTGGGCAGGTCTATTTCAAAATTAAATGGCTATGGGACATGGGATTTCAGGTCGACTTCAGGGCACGGTTATCCGCCGGAAATTCATGAGGATGACCTGGTGAGCTTGGACTTCCTTATTCCATTCAACAGCCACTGCGAGCATGAGAATAAGACGCATCAATGGTATCTACTTATATCGGATAATGTTTGCACAGAAATCCGGCGAGGCGTTGCACGAACGGATTTGATTAATGATGTTGTCTCGATGATCCTATGTCTCGAGAGTATCACACATCATCTAATCTGGAGCAAGCTCTGTTATCGTGCAGCGGATATTTGCGTTATTTGTCGTTTTGGAAGAGACGAAGATTTCACATAGCGAGTGACAGTGTAGTAGCTTCAGCGTTGACCCTATGACAAGATATATATTGAGAAAATAGAAGAATGCTGGGCATACGCGTCAAAGAACATACAAAAGGTCAAAGGCGTGGAAGCCTACCCACACCACCTGAGCTGAACAAGCGAAATGAGCGTGTTGCTGTGACAAGTGAAATTCTGCCAATCATTTCTTCCTGTGAGCTTTGAGATAACTGCATGAGTATTATATATCCACCGTCATTAGGGTCTCATTGGTCTCTCGTTGTCCACGAAATCGAGTGGGACAGAAATGCTGGTGCAACCGTAGAATGTTGGTTTCTGGCAAAACTTGGTTTTTGATGTTCGAGTTTCTAAGAGTTATTGCAAGTGACCTAACCCTTTCGGGCGTTCAGTCGAGGAAACCACGATTCAGCGAATCTTAACAACTTTCGAGTTTTCGAAGACGATAAGCTATTTGAAAGATCGACCTGATTGAGCGATTGTACGGTAACGAAATTGTGTGACCAAGCAGCGTGACACATTAGATTGCAGCATAATCTTTTTGATATTCTTATGTTCTGTTTGGAAGTAGGAATCAAGATTGTCTCGAGTAAGCTACCGTTCAGGGTATAGTTGTTGTTGAAGTCAGTGCTCACGCAGAGAAACTATTTGGAACTTGTCGCGAGAACAAAGTTCACGAAATAATTATGCAGAAAAGAATTAAAAAAGAGGAAGAAGAGAACTAGTGTAGCTCAAGCCTCGTGTCCTCCTTTCAGCTTCGAATGACATGAGAATTTTGTGACTGCGTGGCGAGTCCCGATTTGACTATCATCTAGTTGTCTCACCCGACACGCTGCGCAGTGGAATTCCCAGTTCGCCGATAAAATTAATTATCAGGAAAGGTAAGATCGCTGACGATTTTTCATGATTTTCCCCAGAACCAAGCTTGGGTGGGAGCGAAAAAGTCGTTCGAGGGATCCTTCAGAAGCGATGATTCCATTTATTTATTTTATTTTCTTTCTTCTTCTTTTTCTATTTTTCATTTTCTGTGCTGATCTACCCATTAAAAACATTCTCATTCCCGGATTGAGAAAAAGTCAACTTACCTTTCCTGAATACGGTGCCGCGTAGGGAAATATAGAGGTATCTCGCAGTAAGGACCGTTGTCCAGACACTCCACTTTGGAATAATCTAAAATTATGAACAGGGAAATTTCAAGCTCATTTCTGGGTATGGAGCAATTTGAAATATTCTCTTGTTCTGCTTTTCTTTATGCAAAGTTCGAAAAAAAGGCACAAGCTATACCAAAAAGTATATCCTTGAGATTTGTTCCAATGTTTTTCATTGAAAACAAATTATATTTAGTACTGGTCGTGTGAGAGTTCAGTTAACTGTAAGAATTCTAGCGAAAATCAAACCATATCCTACAATTAGTGCAGGATAGTAATACTGGTATATTATATGTTGAGAGCGAAGGTGGCTCAGTGGCAAGTGGTGCACTTCACACACGCATCCGCTGATTCGAATCCCGGATCAATATCTGTCCTATCCAACCAAGCCTTTCATCCCTCCGGGCTCGCTTAATTGGTACCACACTTGTCTGGGAGAATAAAAGCACTGACTTGTACATCGCCTGGCCACCGTTAGTCATTGTATAGGTCACATACATTCATTACACCATTACGATTCTCAATGGAAAACGAATGCGTGGGCGCACCCCTCAAACAGTATCGATTCACGCCCCAAAACTTTATACTTCATCCTTTATATATAGAAGGATTTATTCTTTATATCACGTGGTAATATTATGAGATATTATTGTTAATATTATTATGATAAATGAAGGTTTGTCGATGTTGAAAAAAAGAATTCTCAATATTTTCTTCGCTAAAGGCACTTCAGAGGAGGAATTCATTAATAATCAAAGAAGGGCATTGCTAGAGAATGAAATCAGTTTCATGCCCATCCTTAATTTGTAATTGCTGTGGTTTCCGCTCCAAATCGAACTGGATTCATAACTCGTACAAGTGTTGTAGCTTCTTCGGACAAAATTCATTTCTAAGCAAACGCCACCATCGTTGTTAACTCTGAGAACGTACACAACTTTTAATCCTCGCGATATTCAGTTCTGTACTTGTCACGAATCGAAGCTCATTTCTTGGTTTCCGACCCTTTCTTACATTTTCTTTTCTAAGAGGCTGAATATAACATTTTCCCCTATTCAAAAGCTGCGGTAGCACCCAAACTATCGTGTCCTTGAATTGTAGCAGGGCAGTAGTTGATCGATCTGATTTTGTTTTTTTTCACAAACGCGGATGCTTCGTCGATGATGAAACACTTTGGAAATGTGTTCACTTCCTTTGCACCCTGAAGAGCTCTTACGATTATTGAACTCTTCATTTTCGGAGCGTACTGAGGTTACTCAGGCTTAGTCTGCGACTCTGTTGATTAAAAGAGGAGAGGTTTGCAATCCCAGTTTGGAGCCTTGAAACAAGCAGTCAGCGATTAAGAACGGCTGGGAAAGAATGCATTCCCTCGAATTCCCTGCATGCCGCATGCAGGGCGTTTGAGAACAGACTTCGGGTTAATATGCGTGCTAAGGGGGATATTGGGAATTGTATTCGGAACACCCTGTTTATACCCTCTATTCGTGTATACCACTCGGAACGTCCAGCTTAACTATCCTCATTCTTGTCACAGAGCTTGAATGCACAGTTGATTCTCCAGTCCTCTTTTGAAAACAATTCCTCCGACTTTTAAATTTTGCATGGGTTTTCTCCAATCATGCATGCGCTAGAAGCCAGGTGACAGCTCATCGCTCACACCTACAAAAGCTCAATCTGTTGCTTTTGACCCTAACAATATAAGCCGGATATGGATTCAATATTTCTATTTATCCGGTTCACCGGCGCAACTGTGCAATGCAATGATTGATCATTCGTAGCCTTAAATGGTACTCACGGTTTCATCGGATTTAATTATACTTTTCCGAACACAAAATGTACTAACATTTGGACTAAATGGACTACTAAACACTAAATGGACTAACAGGACAGTGCAAGTGACCTTTAATATGTACCTATGCTTATGCTTATGCTTAGAACTAAAATTTTCGTTCTCCATTTTAGAAGCAATTGCCCATCAAAGATTGACTATGAGGCAACCAAAAGCTTGATATTATCGAGTGATAAAAGCACCATCATCACATATGGGTATTGATGGAGCTTCTCTCCTCCCAAGATATATCCGTCTGATTGAGCTTCTCTCCTCCCAAGATATATCCGTAAGTGAGATTCCCAGATTATTGACAGTCGGATAAGTTTTGTAGCAAATAATGCTGAAGCAAAAAGAAGCCTTTGTCTTCCCCAAACCTTGCTGAGTAACGGTCATAATTTAACACCGAAAATGGAATAAAGTTCCATATCCTCATAGTATGGTGTCTTTAGTTTTGCCCCAGCACTGCACTTAATGCTCACTTTTTGCCATCCTACTTCATCATCCTTTATCGAATATAACAAGGCGATTTCCCGCCACCGAATGCATACTAACCCCTTCTATCCACATCACCTAGAGGTGTAACAGACCTAGTGGCTCTCTTCTTCTATGGCTCGTTGACCAGCAAGGTGATGGCGTATATCGTCAGAAGCAGTGCAAATGATGAAGAGAGCACGCATGAAAGCCTCAGGACGAGCGCAAACAGCGGATTGTAGGGAACACTGGGAAGCGATAAGTAAAAAGATAAAATGCCACTATAAAGGCTTTCGACTAAACAAACTTCGTGAAGTAGCCAATAGAATGATTAGTCTGAAAGCCGTAGAAAAGGTTGCCTTAGGCATCACATGCCATTTGCTCTCAAGGGCAATACAGGTGTTAAGACAACCAACCGCCTTCGGATGAATGTGTGATAAGTTTCTTAACGACTTCCACCCTTCAAAGGCGGTCGTCGCAAGAACCGTTCAAACCACTGCGGAAGAATCGATTCCAGATGTCATGTGAGAAGAGGTGGAGTATGCAGTAAAACAGATTAATGCGGGGAACAGGTCGCGACAACATGCGTCTTGAACACCTTAAAGCAAGTGGATAAAATCTCTTCGGAGCACTGGCACAGCGCTTTACCAGATACCGCCGCGAGAAAAGGATTCCGGCAGCATGGAAGAAATCACGGATGATACTGCTAATGAAACAGTAGCGGGTGATTCTAACGGTCACATCGGAAATGAACGAAGCTTTGAGAGTCTCACGGAGGTAAGAGGATAGGAGTCAGGAACGAAAAAGAAGGAAAGATTTACGATCTGGCCACAGCCCACGACTTGGCTGTGTGCAGCACCTTCCTCGCGAGAAGGAATGTCTAGAAGATAATGCACAGCAGTGAAGGGAAAAAAGGAAATAGATCACGACGAGGACTCGTGACCAGGTCATCACTCAAACCGGCGAAGCACATGAAAGTACTGCCTGGCGAAAATCTAGCTTAACAGCACAGAACTATCCCAGCAGACATAGCCATTTATTTTCCCAGAAAATCGAGGACAAGATGGAACTGACAGTCCGGTCCTGGGAGCTGCACCGATTCGAAAAGAAGCACCTTCGAAAGAAGTTATTGGAAACCCTGGACACAGATTCTGAAGGGTCGATTCAGCCGATCTGAAGCAATGCCGTGAAGGTCATCCTACGATGTGCAAAGTAAATGCTGGAGGACACTCGGGGAGGATTTAAAGGGAGCAAGGAAACATGGTTTCATAACAATGACGCCCAGGAGTTGTGAGGCCGGAGAAACCGGCGTACAAGCGCTCACAAAGCTCTAGAAGACCTGGCTGCTCACAGGTCCTCCAAGAAGCTTGCCGAGGCTGCTGTAGNCGTCACCGAGCTACTCAGGACATAAGTTTAGTGAAGCCCGTTAAGAACATTAGGGGCAATCGCGAGGCAGCCTGGTGAGGTCAGGCGTAGGTGGAAGAAATATTTCGTCAGACTCTTGAACGAAGAATTCGCCTGTAAGGACAGCCCCCAATTACAGACAACGGCTAGAATCATCAAACCATGGAGAGGATGAGGGTGCGTAGAGCAAAGGGAAGACAAATGTTGGAAATGAAGCTTGTCTGGATGGGTTAACAATCGAGGCATGGAAGTCGCTCGGAGAACACGAGATGAAGTGGCTCACAACACTATGCCCACTATAGGACGAATGCCAGATGCATGGAGGGCAGTACCATGGTCCCTATCTTCAAGTAGTGGGAGACGATGGAATGTTCCAACAGCCGGAGGATCGATTTAACTGCTCACCGATGAAACTGTACAAGCGGTTGGATGACTTAAAACTGAGAGGAGCGATTCTATTCTTACATGAGAAGTTCGGCCTCATGCCCGGAATATCAACAACAGAGGCAATCTTCATAGCTAGGCAAGTATTAGAGTAGTATCGAGAAAACCTGCTATCTAGTCTCCCTCAATCTGGAAAATCGACCGTCAACTCTGACAAGCCCTTTGGAAAGCGTTCCGAAAACAAAACGTCTCAAAACACAAGATCTCTCTGATGAGCGCATTACGATTACTCCACGACAACAACCAAACACGGTCAAACCGGAGCAATAAATGTCACTGTTGGGGTAACCATAAATCAGCTATAAGCCCGTTCCTCTTCCTGCTTGCAATGGAGATTATCATAAAGGAACTCTAGAACTCACTGAAGACCATCTTCTACGCTGATGGCTTCGCTCCCTGATGACATTGCTAGATGCCAAAGACTCCAGGACAAGCTGCAGAAATGGCAAAAAGTGCTAGCGGAAAACGGACGAACGTGAAGAAGACCATATTCCTCAGCTCCAAGTAGTGAACGGAGTCAATCGTAGACGGTTTTAGATAAGCCCTCAAAAAGGTTCAGGACTTACGACACCTGGAAATCACCGAAACCACCGAAGCTATGTAATGGCAAAAGATCCCGCAGATAGAAGGAAGTGGAGATGGTTGATGAGAATAGCGGACCGTGCAACGGCGCGGGATCAACGCTTGAGAAAAGAAGAAGAAGGAGTACTTTGGTTATGATGAAGAATTGGCTAAACATGTAGAAACTTACTCCTATCCACGAAAGGAATGTCCTCCGCACCTCGATAATCCTGTGCAATCACGTACAATGCACTGTCTTGAATTGTTTGATTCCTGTTGTCAATGACGCGGTTCACATGCTCAAATTCCTCACGTTACATTGTAAGCAAAAAGATTGAAAATGAAAACCGATGGAAGATTCACTGATAAATGTGGAAAAGGAAGTGGTCACTTACGAATACTTGTACGCGCCTCGGCATTGGGTATTCATCTGTGTAACTGTATGGCGATTTATGCAAGAAATGCAACACAGCTAGAACGGCAGAAACAGTGAGTAGTATACCACTGATCATTCCGAAAAAATTCCACAGAGTCGTTTCAGCTTGCGTTCTCTTTAGAGCCGTTATCGTCACCAGAGGCAACTGAAAAGCAAAGCTGAATATTATTGGCAAGCGCTATTTTTCGGGTGTTATGATGAAAATGAGTATATTTATGAAGATAGCATTCTCTCAGATACCTTTACCCGCCAGGATATAAATCCCTCTGAAGATAAATACAGGTTCCAATTGCACTCACTCGGTGCGCAATACGACCGTCAGAGAATATTGAATACAGTCGCATCAAGGGGAATGACTGCGCATTCCAAAAGTGTACCAACTGCCTAGTCCACTAATGACTGTTAATTTAGCTGACGTGCCTTGAAAACATATGAGTTCAGAGCTACGAGCTCAAAAATCCAGTGATTGTTCAAAATAGGGAATCTCAGGCACGAGGTCGATTGAAAGAGAAGGTTGATCATGAGTAGACGAACATACTTTCATTATTCTCTTTAACCCATCTCGAAGAAAATTACTGGAGTGTTTGAAAAACAGGTCCTCGGAGCCAATTAATGAGCCAAAGGAGGAAACAAAAACAAAGGCACAGCAAACAAGTAAAGGCGGCTTCTTTTAATCAGATCTGAACGTAACGGCTGAGAAAATGTGCTCGAGTGGTTGTTCTATGAGCTCTGACTTAGAGAACGCCTTAAATGAGCATCGAGCCTTCTTATGAACTTTGTGGGCCCTTCTGCAATTCCATGAAGTATTCACTGACATCTTACTTAATAAAGCTTGCTAGTTGTGTGTATTGGTCGTGCTTGCTCGAAAACTCATGACTAAGTCCCCTCGACATGGAAAGTTTAAGTATACAAGGAGTAAACGAGGCATAATTGGAGCACTGACAATGACTCCAGTGTTAACAGGAGAGCCATCGGCTCAGCAACTGAAGGATCATAAGGAGTCGTGGAAAGTGAGAGCCGTTGGGTCTGCGGAGGGCAGATCGGGACCATTCACTGATAAAAAGAACCAAAGCGGTTCAGCCTCTGCGATAGGATTGCTCTTGCTTTCTAAGGCTTTGAATAACCTCTTTCCAGAATAACCTCTTAATTGATTTATTCAACTTTTTCTTCATTGTATTTGGAAATTGCACATGCTTACATGTTTGTTCTCAAGCGTGCGCAGGTATATGCGACTTACGAACGAAGGCCGGATTTGAATTGGCGCGTTACGTCACCTTGGGAAAAGTTATCTTCAAGTTTCTAGAAAACTCAACATTCTTAAGAACAGAGATGCGAGTGTCGTGAAGAAGCAATCAGCAAATGTTCCAAAGAAGAAGCCAGGACGAAAACCAACTCTTTCTGAACGCGACAAGCGTCGGTTGATCAATATGGCAACAAACTCAAAGAGAACTGCGAGGGGTTAGCTGCAGATTGTGGGAATTCGGTTTCAAACGGGCTGTTGCTCGCGTCCTGAAGTCATCAGACACCATAGTTTCTCAGAAGATGATGTTCGCACCACGGCTAATATAGAGTTTCCGAGAGACACGGCTTCTCCTCGCTAGGAATGAGATGAACAGAGGTTGGACAAAGGTGTGCTCTTGAAACTTGCATAAATTTATGAGAAGAGTATTTTATCTTTGTCTTTGTTCAGGTTATTTTTTTCTGATGAGAAGAAATTCAACGAAGATTGGCCAGTTGGAAACCATTATTGGCGCGATCTATAGAAAGAACCACTACTTATGTCCCAAAAAAACTTCGACGGCTTCTCGTTGAAGGTCTGGGGAGCCTTTTGCAGCGACGGCATCGCTGGTATTCAATTCATATCTTGTAAAATGACAAGCCAGGACTACGAGTCACTTCTTGGGGAAACGTTGGTGTCATTTATCAAGAAGAGCACAAGTATCCCATTTGCAGTCCAGTAACATCCCGTTATTGTCATGGCCGGCCTGCAACCCGGACCCTAAACCCCATCGAAAATATCTGAGGTGTATTAGTGCGTAAGATCTATGCAAAAGGTAAAGTGTATGGCAATGTTAAATCGTTGAGAAGATTTACAACTATGAAGTTGAAGAGTCTGTCGTCTGTTCTTCTGAAGAAGCTCTGCGATTCGATGCTTGATCGACTCTTAGAGCCTGTTCGGAAGAAGGGAAGCTTCACTCATTATTGAATAATCCTGCAGTAGAAAACGGATAGATCGGATCCCAGGTGTTGTTTTTTTTCGGTTGACTATGCCAATCTAATATGCACCGATTTAGAAATGTAAAATTGTTGCGAAGTATTTGAAAGAAGTTGTGTAGTCGAATAGTTACCACTAAAATAATTTTTTCTCCATCCTAATCATATACTGTCAGCAAATGCAATAAAAACTTCGGCCTCTCTCTAAAACTAGTTTTTTATGGGGTACGATCTACGGTGATCCGCTCTTCGCACCTAACCAAGGTCACTTCGCGCCTAAGTGCGAGACGAGCTTGATTAGGTGCGATGGCACCAATATTCGCGCACTCCCAAATTTGAAGGCCCAAGGTCCACATTGACAATTTTCGCGCATACTCCACCCCTTGCGGGCGGTGTCTGGCCTTACCGGCCATGGTAAGTTTCCCATTTTGCCGCCTTGACTCCTATCAAGTTTTAACGCTTTAGATTGACGGGTACAGGAGTTAAGCATTTCCGGTCTGACCCACGCACACAGTCGCACACACTTATGCACATAGGCACACACAAACACACATGCATACATACTCATACACACGCAAATAAGATATTAGCGCGTAATTGATGTTTTCTGCCGTTGAAAACTTCTTATGCCTACTCCGACAGATGGACAACCGGAAGCTGATAAACTTCAGCGAGCAACGCACTTTTATGTTCCCCTATGCTTGAGTTGATTGAGGAAGCAAAATATACATAATGACAACAAACTGCTTCTCAGCCGAGAATGAATTTTCGGATCATCAAGATCGATGAGTTTTCTGGGAATGGCGACCAGGTCAGGTTTCTGACGAGATGCTCATGGAAAAAACCGATGCATAAGGCACTGAGAAACAAGTAGACTCGCTCTCATAGCAGTAACTTCATTTTGAGCTAGAAGCCCCACCAAAAGACAGAACCGGAAATCTACATTAAAGGCACGGTTCACGGTAAAAATGGTTTCTGAGTTTTCCACCCAGTATAAATTCGAGGCTCCTTCTCATACCATCTGCAGCAGCGTGAGGTCGAAAAACGTCCTGGTTAGGGCGCAGTAAGGGGCCGGAGATTGCTTCGTGAGAATGTCGCACCCATGACAGGCTGTCTCTAAAATCTATTTGACTGGCTCTGCATGAGATGATTATATTTAGCAAAAAGCTGGGCAACAAATCATCTCTGCGCTCTTTATGCACTCGACCGAGACGCAGAGTACGAAAGGTAGCTACCACACCCAACTACATTTTCACCGGTGAATATGTACATTGTATCGTTAAACATCAGTATAAAGAATTTTTACTTACCTTCCCGATCCGGTGAATTTAAGTTTTAAGTTGAAGATAAATGGGCTCCAGTGCAGCAGAACAATATCAGGGGAGTAAATCTGACCAGCAGAGCGTGAAATCAGCTGTTTGGCTTGTACGCAATCACAGGCACTGCGGAAGCTCGCTCAAACACTTCTTCCACGCCTCTTTCTGCCTCAAACTCGTTCATCCTTCTTTTTACCAGTTTTTTGTTCTCTTGCATTTCTTTGTATACACATTTTTCGCATTTTGTTCATTACCGTTGTAGTATACGGACTGTATCCTTCATTATTCGTCGAAAATCGGATACCCCAAAATTATCGCAAAATTTTCGTGAACTGTGCCTTTAAAATAATGTACTGCTTCTTAGTAGAGAAGACACACACAAGAGAAGATGGAATGCAGAATTGGAACAGAAAAGTGCAGTAACATACATACATAAATACATATTTATAGGTACAGAGATCTCAGAATTTCTGCCTCCATCCACCATCACACAATGACTCCGTCATTTACGCTAGGCTTACCAGAGAAAACACAATAATGTACGTCGAGAAGTTGGTCATGACTGCCACGAGTACTTCAGGATTCGTTCCGGTTCGTCCCATGATTGGAATAATAATCGACTGTACCATTGATGAGAGATAGATGGCCACTCCATAAGATGGTGTATGCAGCACAATATGAGTTAGAACCACGACCCACTCATCTATAAGTCCATTAGACGATCCTTCTAGTATAAATGTTTAGAAATTTGATCTTTGCAAACTCACTTTTGAAGTGAATCACGTCACCTGCAAGCGGAATAAGCATCAAAGTAAAAATGAAAGAACTAGAAATCCCTTTCAAAGTCAGAAAACAAACAATCACGGCGACCATTGTTCTGTGGACGGTCTCGATCGCTCTCGCATGATCCTGTAAGACCTTTCATTGGCACTCATGTCGCCCACGATTGAGTTACTGCCAAAGTTTCTACAGCCAGTAACTGGCGATTACACCACAACATACTGAAGGCTTTACAAATCAGATTTTGTCATTCAGACCCCGCACACAAATTGTGCGCCACACCAAAGAACGCATTGAACAGAAGTGAAGTTCTGGTTGAACTCCACCCCTCGAGATATGGCTATAAGCTGGGGCGGATCATGAGCTCGTGCTAAAGGCTCGACGACTCTCCGCTCTCTGCAGGAGAGCTTCCTTAATTTTATTTGTTGGCCAATCCTTGACTTTGTTGATTTTTTCTAGAGGTCTGGTCCGTCGTGAGAGCGAACTAGGAATTTCGACTCGTAGCGCAGCCCAATCACGCGTGTCTCCCCTTCTGCGGAGGGAGCTTCCCCGGGCTCACATGCCCTGTTCTTCTGACCCTATGCTTAGGAAGATAAGACCCCTTCGAGTCTTTGTTCGGATAATATCGAATTTCTTGACAGACATAGCAGATCGTCACCAGTGGTTTTGTGTAAAATTTTTTACATAAAAAACCACATTTATCACAGGATTTATCAAGCGGATAGAATATAAATTATTTTTGATATTTTTTAAGGTCTTGTAGAAAACGACTTCCTTAAATAGTCCCAAGTTGCCATTAATAAGCAAAATTTTGATTTTCAATTGGAGAAAGTTTAGAAGTATTTGATTAGCCTTGTAGAATGATCACTGTTGATTCCATAACCGGATTCGTAGTTGTAGATGACTTTCCAATTTTCGTTCAGAAACATGACTTTGGTCACTTCTTCACAAATACCTATCTCAATTATAAATTTTCCTCTTTTTTTCGAAATATGGGCGAGGTGGTGTAGTGGCAAGTGACGCACTATCTCACACGCACGGTCATTGGTTCGTATCCCGGATCGATGCCCGCCTAGGGCAACCAAGCCCTCTATCCTCCGGGGTCGGTGAATTGGTACCAGACTAGTCTGGAAGGATGAAAGCCGGACTTGTACATTGACTAGCCACCGCAAGTCATTGTATAGACCACATACGATTCATTTTGCCACCACGATTTTGAATGGAAGACGAGTGCGGAGGCGCATCTTTCAGAATGGATTGATTGACGCCAAAAACTTTACTCTTTAAGCTTTTTCCGAAATATATTTCAGTCCTTCTTCTTACACTATATCCAAATTTTCTCTGACAAGATGTCCATGTTCTCTGTTATGAACTCTTTGAATAGCAGTCATAACATAACCAGCATACCAGTCGGATTGCCCTGGGGGGCCAAGTCGGCGGGCCTACTCCTTCTAATGGCAAACTTGCGAAAATCGGCTGTTTCTGTGAAGCAAATGATACTTCTCTGCAAACGAACTCTGGCACAGGACTAAGAGGGCGGCACAAGTGGTATTCCTTGCGCGATGATTATACGCCCGTGATTAGAACGCACGAACTGTTGCTCTTATCTCAAGAATAATTCATTGAATATTTGACTATTAGGCAACAAGAGCCTCAAGTGGTACTCAATAATCTTGTCGAGTGATAATTACCAGTAAGTTCACCCGGCTCATGCCGGGCTTCTCTCCTTCTTCTGGCAACATTGTGATAATCGGTTAACCCGCCACAGCATCTTAAGAATAAAGGATACTTTTCTCATCACGAAATTTTACACAGGACTAGCAGGGCAGTGCAAAAGGTATTCAGCACGTGCAGATGCTCTCGACTATCATTAAAAACCTCAATCTGTTGCTCTTCATCTTAAAAATGGTTAACTATCAGCGATCAACTGTTGGACAAACCATGCTGTGAATGGTACTCACAAATGTTTTCGAGTGACAACAATGCCCATTCCTTTTCAATGAAGCTTCTCTACGGACTTTTTATTAATTTGGCCTTTGCTACCAAGTTTAGCCACAAGTGACACCGAAACAAAAAGATCGCGTAATACATCATTTCGTCAAAAACCTTGCTGGGTAGCGGTCCTAGCCTAATAGCATGAAGTGAATCAAATTTATCATAATTCATCTAATTATAGATAAATACTTTGGTCGCTCCCTACCACTGCATTTACCCTTTCATTGGATGAAAGCTACGGATCTCCTTCACTGAGGATTCTCTCTCACTGAAGGATCCCCAGCCGGTTGTGACGAGGCTACGTAGGGCGTCCCCAAATGGCGGGTAGGGGAATTAATCGCCGACCAAAAGTCACCGGTATTTGCCCAGAGACGCAGGTGGATTCAAGGATTGGACTCCTTGATTCTGCTGCGCCGAGTCGATATACCCTCTGTCCCTCGCAGGCGATCCACGCATACGTGTGTGGAGAGTCTGTGGGTGCAGTTGGTATCCTGCCCCTCGACTCGGCCAAAAGCTCGCATTCGAGTGACTGGGAAGTATTTTTGGAGGCGATTAGGGGCCGCCTCCAAAAACAAAGCCCCTTGTCCACTTCGGGATAGCCTGGCAAGCCCCTGGAGTCAATAGCCCCCACGTCAGAGCCTGGCAAGCTGCACGTTGGGTATCTACAAGCTAAAAA